TAAGTCTATCCCATGCTGTTATTCTTTGTCTCAGTGTAACCGCTCATTGCAATTGACGTAAGATATTACTCGCCATTCCAGCGGTTGATGTATGGTGGACCGAGCTTTAAATGTAGCTAGGGACGTTATGGGCAGTCGAAGGCACCGACTATCTGCCCGGACAATACAGCAGATAATGGTTCTTAAGGATACAATATCTCAAGAGGAAGAACAGGGTCTAGACTACCTAGTTGCTCAATTAGGGGAGGATGGAGAGCCAATTGACGAGGTTAATGATCTTTTTGAGCTTCCAGCCTCGTTAGAGCATACCTTCGATATAGATGAGGAGAACCAGACTACAGAAGAAGAGTCGGAGGAAGAGGTCCAGGAGGAGCGTCAATTGCCACCTCGAAAGCGCCAGCGTCCTCAGCGCTACCGTGATAATTAGCTGTGTTAATATATCTCGTTTTATGTATCTACTATATCATCAACGTGTACACATTATCTTAATTAAGTGTTGTTCCGTTAAAGTACCCAAAAAATATAACCCAACCCCAACCCAACCCAGCCCAACCCAAGCCCAACCCTACCACTTGGTCTGTGCGACCCCAGCCCAGCCCTAACCCATGGTCTGTGCGACCCCAACCCAACCCTAACCCATGGTCTGTGCGACCCCAACCCAACCCCAACCCAAGACTGGGTATACCCAACCCATTTGCCAGCGTATCCATGGAAGGCAAGGAGGGCAGACCTCAACATGGAGGGCACACTCACTATATAATAGTAGGCAATGAGCCCTTACGGTTCATTGTGTTCAACTTCGAAATCTAAGGATTAGTACTTGATTCTCAACTCCCCGTATATTACATCGATCTACCAATCGTGCTATACACCCTCGTGTCCATCGCATCACTCTATCCCCGAGAACCAACCCAAGATCATCTTCGGACGACCTTCACATCTTGATCGATCCCTCACATCTATTCACCAAACTGCTCTTTAGCACCAGGCACTAGCTAGATACTCGGTATCTAGCTAGAAGCAAGCCTAAACTGCCATAGCCAAACAAACACCCAAACTGTACGATAAACAAAACCAGATAGAACGGCCTTCGGCCCAGTCCTACATAGTCTCTGACTGAAAAAGGACTCAAATGGAATAATAATAATAATAATAATAATAATAATAATAATAATCTCTACACATAAATAACTCAACATTCTCTTAACCAATTAAGATGTATCATGACTAGAGTTAATCCCCTAACTCTGCTGCATTTTTTTGACACGTGCATCTATTGTGTGCGGCCTCACCACACACTTTACAGTGACGGACACCCTTGCAGCTACTACCTGCTTCTACCCTCTCTACCTTACTACTTCCCCTGCCTTTACCTTTGATAGAGTCCCGCCTTCCTGAATCCGCTTCTTCTTGCGCTTCTTATGCTCAGAAGCACAGCTCTCAACCACCAAACTTCGAGTTTTTCCGAACACGTGAAACTCCATCAGAAACCAACTATATCCATCGAAAGAAATAGATTCCGACTACTCCCAAGCCGTGCAGCCGCGTGGTTGTGGAGATACAAGGAGTCTAGTACCCCAAACGCGACGCGTCCGAACTTTCAGAAGCAAACGCACAGACCAAGCCAAGAAACAACAACAACAAGACAACAGAGAGGCTAAAATGGCCCCAGATAGCGACACTATCGTAGTCCAGCTACCAGAAGACCTCCGGACCCCAAGCATACTGGACGACGAAATGGAGACCGACGAAAGGCATCAAGACAACCCAACAACACCCATCGAGCAGACCACCCAAGAAACACCAAAGTTAATTATTCAGCCACCACTAAATAAAAGACCAGCGGCATTCTCCCCAGAGATAACTACAAGAGAGAGAAACCCATTCCAGAACAGCCAAGAAAAGAAACCAAGAGCAAATGACTCAACCCAAGCAATCTTCTGGGCAAGGGACCTAATTCTACAAGCATCTACTATGGCCGAATCCCATCTATCCCAAAACAAACTACTACAACTACTGGACGTCTTTAGAGACTTTACGGAACTAGGCAGGGTTACGCAGCAAATGACTGAGAAGTTTACAGCACAGCTTGCGTACCAGACTGCAACGCTTACAAGCGCCTCCCAACAAGCTACAAAGACACTAAAGAAAGCTGTTAATGCCGCAACTGGACCACAAAACCCAAACAAACAAGAAAAACCAAACAACCAGAACACCCAGAACACCCAAAACACCCAACAAAACAAGACATCATACGCTAGCGTAGCCGCCCAGAACAACGGAAACACATGGACTACAGTGTCTACAAAAAAGAAGACAAACAAAAAGCCAGCAAGCTACTACCAAGCAGTCCTTACGCTTACCCAGCCTACGTCCCACACACCACTCCAGATTAGAGACCTAATCAACGAAGAGTTCACAAAGGGCGGCATCAAAGACCCAGTAGTGAAGGAAGTAACAACAAGTAGAAAGAACAATATTATTCTAACAACTACTCCAACCTACTCAGGAGAATACCTAGTCCAACACAAGCATATATGGCATCAAAAGTTTGAGCTAAAGAATGTACAACTACTAGAATCATGGACGAAAGTAGTAGTACATAATGTGCCAACAGAATGGGAGTGTAAGGGGCTGCGCAAAGTATGCCAGTGCCTGGTAACAGGATTGTATTCGATGAAGAAGAAAGCTATCTGCAGTGCAACGATATCTATATACGTTTGGCTTGTTGTTCACGTAGCTTCTCGAAGCATCTAAAGTGCCGAGGAAGCTCCGAAGGTTCCACCGAGGATCACCATAGCATCTGGGCTCTAGCCCGTTACATTACCCCCCTCCTCTCTCTCTCTAGCGTCTGGATGGATCTCGTTTGAGCCACGACGGAATCCTGCGGGAAGCAGTCTTGTTCTAGGGTCTCGATAAGGTTCCGTGAACTGTTCCTATCGAATCTTCGCTTCAGTATTCTCCAAATTCTCCTTAGGCTCCATTGTTGGCAGATGGTAACCCTTCCACTTCACTTCGTACCACCATTTCATTCCACGTCCACGCCGCCGACAGATCTCTGCTAGGATATCTTCAACTTCCCACATGTCTGCACCATCAGTGTCTACCTGGATCGGTAGTGGTTGGTCATCGTCCCTTGACTGGCTCGGTAAGGGGTCTGATGATGCCAGTCTTAACCGGTCAACGTGGAAGACATTGTGAGGTCCTGGAGGTGTATTAAGGCGGACCGTGTGGGTGTCGATTACTTCGATTACCGTGTATTTCGCGCTTCTCCAGTCGAGTTTCTTTGATCTCCGGCCAGTGGCAAACTGTTTTCCTAACTGTAGCCATACTTTGTCGCCAACGCGTAGCTGTGGTGCTTCTCGACGATTTCCGTTTGCCTGTCGTTCTTGTTCTTGCTGTGCCTGTGCCATGGATGCCTGGGCCATCTCTAGGAGTTCGCGTAGTTTGGTAACGATCGATTCAGCCTTCTCTCGGTCAGATTTCTCATGTGCGTTGTATCTCCGTCGATCGGCACCTATAGGGATCTCTAGCTGTAGAGGGTCGATGTTGTAACCATGCTGAAGGAAAAACGGAGATACTTTCGTCGTTGTTGCATCCCTTCCTTTAATCGCGATCTGCGCCAACGGGCACAGAGGTGCCCAATTGTCTTGAGCCCAATTAACGAAGGCCTTCATGTATGTCTCCCAAGTGCTGTTCATCCTTTCCGTGGCTCCGTCGGTTTGAGGGTGAAAAGCTGTAGATATCCGCCGATTAATCCTAAGAATCTCTCTCAGGGGGGATGGCGCAGTGGTAAAGCGTCTGGTATTCCTCTACCGCACTCCAAATTTGCAGTGTAGTAGAGGTCGAAGGTTCGAATCCTTCTCCTCTCACCGCCACTTGTGGCTTTACCAAAAAAATATCGAACGGCTTACTCCAACTCGCAAATTTTCACCTACCCCTGCAAAAAACTTAGCGACAGTTTATAGCCGCAGTACACCCGAGCCACGTACTGCTACGACTACAACACTACGCTAAGCTTGTTACAACCCTACGCCTCGTTCAAGATCCCATGGCTTTTTCCCCCTCGAGGTTTTTTTCAGACTTAGGAACACGAGGAAAGCGTTGCAAAAAGAGATAGGTTGAAGAGAAGGAAAAACAGGCAGCTATAATAGGGTTTTACTTTCTCTCCTCCCCTGTAATAGCTAGGACATGCCTAAACCACAATAGTCAAAAACACAACCAACGAACGTCAAAGGAGAGATAAAAATAGCTAGAATGGCATCTGCCACCGTCCGACATAGTCTCTGACTGATAAAGGACGTTAATGGATTACATACATACATACATACAATCCTAAGAATCTCGCAAAGCCTTCGCCAGAATACGCTAACGAACTGAGTGCCCCGATCTGATGTGATCGCATCTGGAATCCAGTGATATGCGACTACATATGTGATGAACGCTTGAACAACTGTTTCGGTCTCAGTGTTAGCTAGCGGTATAAACACTACGTCCTTGCTTAGGCGATCGGTAACAGCCATTAGGCTCTTTTTACCATCGCTTTCTGGTAACCCATCGATAAAGTCGATTGAAATCTCTTTCCAGATTTGCTCTGGTACTGGCAAAGGTTTCAGTAGGCCTTGTAAGCCATCTCTCCATGGTTTCGTTCGTCCACACGTGTCGCAGTTCCGTACGTATCGTCGGATATCGTTAGACATCCCTGGCCAGAAGAAGTCTCTTGCAACCATCTTGTACGTGATCTCTCTACCAGGATGCCCTGTTGCTACAGAACCATGAATCCGCTCGATAATAGAAGTTCGCAGGGGTTCGTAGTTAGGTACCCATTTCCGGTTTCGGAAATAAAGTATCTGGTCCTTGATTTTGCACTCTGCAATCGAACATTTGATCTGGAGAGCAGCGGGAAATCTCCTTTGTTGGCTCTCTACTGCTTCGCGTACTTCCTGATATACTGGATCCTTTTCCACTGACTGAATCCAGAGGTTCTCAATGTCGTGTTGGCGCGGTGCATCTTCCTGGTCATTCCCTTGAGTTGCGGCAGGTAGGGCGCGGATTCTCGCGGACATCGCTATAGTGCCTGTCGCTTTGTCCGCTTCCTCGTAATATGACGTTGTTGATGATGTTGATTGTGGTTTAACGCCCTATCTGTAACCTCCCATAGGGTATTCGGGCGGGTCCCGCCGTGGTCTTATAGTGTTGTCGCACTTGCCTCGTGGAACCTATTCCTAGGTGTTTTGTATCTAAGGGGAGTGATGTCCTGCCTATATACATGTTCGTGAAAAGGACTCCCGCCATTTGAAGCCGTTTTCCTACAATATTCTAGTATTTCGTGGCTTGCGCCTTTGATCGATGCAGTACAGTGACTGCTTTGTAGAGAGAGAAACGAAAAAGTAACAAGAGGCAATTTGAGATATAATGAAAGGTGTCGGCATACACACGGTGTGTCGCCTAATAAGGCCCAATGTACCGCCTCGATCCTACTTCGGCCCAACTCGGACCCAACGCTATGTATACCTTCGTAGCCCCCACATTCGTAGAATCATCATACACCAGAATACCAATACACAAGATTACCTTAGCTACTGTTATTCACCGTACGATCGTACAAGGCCTTCCAACACTGATCAGTGATTGCACGGCAGTCACAGACAGTTAGGTTAAGAAGAGATAGATTCTTTACCCCGCGCGTTCCCTAGATTGCCTATATCAGCAAGGCGGAGTTATCTATGCTAAGCTCACTGTTAGCTATATCAGGCGTCGTTCGTGGCTAGCGACCGACCGTTACAGCCGTATCAGAAGCGTTCCAAGACGCCGTCTATACACGCGCCAACCGACCGGTTGAGATTTGACCCGTGTACAACCCACGACCACCGACGCATCTCTAGCGAACGCAGCTAGCGCAACAAGCGTCAACAAGAACACAATAGCAGGAGAGAGAACATCATCGGAAAGAGCACCGGTAGCCAGGACACCGGCAGTAGGAATGGCGAGCAGTAGTAGAAGAGTGGTACCCACACTAGAGGCGCTACTAGGGACCACAAACATAAAACCAAGAGAATGGCATCACATCGATCCAGAGATTTGGGAGGACAACGTTGAAGCTCCAGACGATGAGGTAGGGATTACTACAGCAACAACGTACATTGCGCGTGCGATTGCGGACTATACAGATCGACCAACAGCAGATGAAGAACTCTTTTGGGAGTTCCGTCAGGACTTTGAAGGATGGACAGAGGCAATGTTCCTACGTGCCCAGCCAATATACACAAAGGAACTAAAGCGGATCCTCCGCTTTAAGGGAGTGTATACTGGCCGTATTAATATGGCACCTAGTGAGTCTCTAGCTAGGTTATTACGCATGGAGGAGTACCTAGAATGGCCTCAGGACGTATTCCAGTCGGCTGTGTTTGACACACGATCAGCTGCGCACATGTTGCAAGAGCGGGCACTACGGCAACAACGCAGTGAAGGATCAGTACAGTCCACAGACAGGAGATTATCAAGCCAGGCCCAGAGCCGAACCCAAACGCCTGTAAGGACAAGAGGCCGAGACGTAGACAGTCGGCAAACCCGCGATCAAGACCAGACCCACGCCCGTGTGCAAGGACGACAGGAGACCGTTGAGGAAGAACAACAGATTCAGGACCAGCTAGCAAAAACGATTGAGAAAGCCCAAAACCAACCAATCCGAAGCCAGCCTGTAGAGACAACTGAATCCGCACCGCAGCCAGCCTATCAGCGCGTCCAAAGTCAGCAACCTCCCCTCACCTACAACAACTTCGACCGATTCCGCGAGTATACACCAGCATACCCGCAACGTCCGAAGGGACTGAGCGTTCCCCCAATTGTGCCCTCTGGTGAAACAGACCCGTACAAGGCAGTTCCACCAATCGAGTTTGGCAATGAGAAACTGGATCCTAAGACGATCAATGTCTTCGTGAAAATGTGGGACCGAGACAAAAAGTATACGGGAAAGCCGTACGACCTCCTAGACGATAAATTGAAGATCTTCTACAGCATCTGTTATCACGCAGACATCGAGCCAGGGCAGTTCCATGCAGTCTTTCCACGGATTCTCGACGGCCGCGCAGAGGAGTATTACCTCCACTTCGTCGATCAGCGGATGGATACGTTCTTGACTGCCTACACAAAGCTCAAGAACCACTTCGACACAGACGTCAACCACGGCCATTACTACGCGGACTGGACGACGACATCGTTTGTCAAAGTCCGCAGGGAGAACCCCGAAAAGAACCTCCACGAGGTCCTTGACATCATGCTGGACAAGCTCCAATTGTGTCAAAGAGCACTTGGACAGCAGTACATGGGAGAATACGCGCTCCGAACGACTGTAATCACAGCATGCCGAGGCGTGAAGGAGCTCGAGATGGCACTCTACAAGCCGTCTCTAGAATGCGAGGTTCTGTTTGGAGATCTGCGATCGTCAATCGAAAACTCACTCGCCATGACCGTCTCCGTCAACTTCACTGAGGCGGATACGGATAGCCAGTACTACTTGGATCGTCGGTACAACAACAACAGCTCTGGAAGATTGCGAGGGAATTACAACCCTCGCGGTGGACGCAGCGGATTCACCCGCGGACGCGGTGGGCTTCAGCACCGCTCTGGAGTCAACACACAAATCGACAAGAAATGTTACGTCTGCGGCAAGACAGGCTGTTGGTCCACAAACCACACGCTTGAAGAAAGAAAACGCTCAAAAGCGCAGTACATCACACACTGCGCGATTACGGGAGAGCAAATGGAGTTTAGCACATTTCTCGTCGCGTACGAGGGGGAAGAAGTCGACCAGTTCTTCCTAGAGGAGCAAGACGAAGATGATGAGGACCAAAGATTGGCAGTTAAGTACCTCACAGATCAGGCCTTTTTGCACCACGTGACTGGAGAAGACGTCTACAGGTGCAAGGAGCCTATTACGCCCGCAACGCAGTTCCTTATCGAGGATCGATACTCGCGAATCACGTACCAAGGCATTCTTCCTGACACTGGTGCCTCAAATGTATCGACAGCCGGAAAGGAGCAGTTCTGGGCGCTCCAAACTGAGGACCCCACCGTAACTCTAGATACGTCTACTGCTGGAAACGCATCTGTGCAATTTGGCAAAGGAAGCGTCACTACTTCGATTGGAACCGCACATGTATCGACACAGATTGGAAAGATCAAATTTGAGGTCTTGAACGCACCCACCCCGTTTCTCCTCTGTCTGAAAGACATGGACCGGCTCCACGTGTACTTCAACAATACTACGGACCAGCTGGTACAAGGAAAAGCTACCTTTCCAGTGATTCGCAAATGGGGACACCCGTGGTTCCACCTAAGCAAGGCAGAGCGCGCGCGCGTATTCCTTACGGAGACTGAGCTCCGACGCTTACACCGGAGGTTCGGGCATCCAGCCGTCGAACGGCTGATACGATTGCTCAAACGCGCAGGACACGAGGACGTGGATGAACGGCTGCTCCGAGAGATCCAAACGTTCTGCCATCACTGCCAAGCGCATGATCCAGCGCCGCGCCGATTCAAGTTTAGGCTGAAAGATGATCGGGAATTCAACTTCGAGATCCTCGTAGATGTGATGTATCTGAGTGGGAAACCAGTGCTTCACGTGATCGATTCGGCTACAACATTCAACGGCGCGCGATTTCTACCGTCTATGAGCGCGAAAGACACCTGGGAAGCACTCCGCCTGCTCTGGATTGATACATACCAAGGGCCGCCAGATATCGTCACCCACGACGCCGGCACCAACTTCGCGTCAGTCGAATTCAGATCAGAGGCGAAGATCATGGGAATCACATGTAAACAAGTGCCAACCGAGGCCCATTGGTCTATCGGCAAGGTAGAAAGATACCACGCACCGCTCAGACGCGCGTACGAGATCCTGAGGACAGAGCTTGACACTGGCACCAGCGACGCCGCAGTGTTGCAGATGGCAGTCAAGGCCGTCAACGACACCGCAGGCCCAGACGGGCTCGTACCCACGCTGCTCGTCTTCGGTGCATACCCCCGGATATCCATGGATTCACCACCATCTCCCTCGATAACCCATCGCGCGGAGGCAATCCAGAAAGCGATGAGGGCGCTGCGGAAGGCCTCAGCGGAACATGCGGTGAGCAACGCACTTGGTACCAGGAATGGGCCTACTACAGACGGGGTACTGTCACTGCCTCTTCAGAGTGAGGTGATGGTATGGCGCGAGAAGAATGGATGGCAAGGGCCGTATAGAGTCATCGATATGAAGGACCACGATGTTACTGTAGACATGATCAACGGCCCAACGACGTTCCGATCCACTGTCGTAAAACCGTACTATCGCGATCTGACTACAGCGATAGACGGCGCAGATCAAGGCACAGGTGGATCTCCGACCACAGACGAAGCGATTGCTGATGAACCGCCACTACCGGTACCACCGGCGGAAGCCAACCAAGCGGCTCAGCCGCGCAAGCGGGGCCGCCCACCTGGATCAAAGAACAAGCCCAAGGTGCAGTACCTGTCGAAGAAGGAGGAGGACGATTACGCCCTGGCCGTCAAGCTACGCAATGACGGCGTGATTAACGTCCCGGGCGCTCCATTCGAAGCATCCGATCAGAAGGAGATCGACGACCTCGTCGGCCGTGGAGTATTCAGTTTTGAGCTGTTTGATCCAACTCTACACGGCGGGTATCGTATCTTCAAATCGCGCATGGTCCGCGAAGTCAAAGGCAAGACCATGGTCCCGTACGAGAAATCACGCCTCGTTGTTCAAGGTTACAATGACGAGGGCAAACACGAGATCCTGACGCAGTCGCCAACCATCCAACGAGCCAGCCAGCGCCTGATTCTAGCCCTAGCGCCTGCATTACTCGATGAGGGCATGGTTGTGGAACTACGAGATATCACGCAAGCGTACCCACAGGCACAAACAGAGCTATTCCGCACGGTTTTAGCGCACCTCCCAAAGGAGCTTATAACAAAGTATCCCAAGGGAACAATTATTCGCGTAATCAAGCCACTCTATGGAATCGCGGAAGCAGGAGTCCACTGGTTTGCTACGTACCAAGGACACCACTGCAAGGAGCTCGACATGGCTACATCAACGTATGACCCGTGCCTCCTGATCACGAACGGGAGACGGGAAGCGTTTGGAATAGTGGGCCTGCAGACAGACGATACTCTCGCGATTGGGACGCCTGCATTCTCTGGTGCAGAAGACGCTGCGCTCCAGAAAGCCAATTTTCGAGCTAAGCCCAAGGAGAGACTGTCCAAAGAAGTATCACTCGAGTTCAACGGATGTACTCTAACGTTGCGCGGAGACACGATTCTACTTACGCAGAAGGGACAAGGTGCCAAGATCGAAATCATTGATCCGAAGGCAGCAAACCGAGCACAGAAGTACATGGAGCAGCGCGCGCGTGGCGCGTACATTGCGTCGATATGCCAACCTGAAGCATCGTTCGATCTTTCCGCGGCTGCGCAAATACAACAACCTAAGGACACAGAATACGTGAAGCTTAACCGCCGGCTGCAGTGGCAATCTGAGAGCATACAACGAGGCCTGCGATACGTCCCTCTCGACCTCGCTACAGCAAAGCTGGTAGTGTTCACAGACGGATCCTTCGCGAACAACCAAGACCTTAGCTCACAGCTAGGGTACCTACTTATCCTTGCGAATGAGTCGAGTCGACAAGACAGCACGTTTGATATTCGTGGTAACGTAATCCATTGGAGTTCGACCAAATGCAAACGCGTTACCCGGAGCGTTCTTGCCTCAGAAACGTACGGCATGGTTAGCGGTGTCGACATCGCTATCGCTATCCTAACAACCCTCAAGATAATTACAGGACGCCTAGGTCTACCACCGATCCCACTTATTGTGTGTACGGATTCATACTCCTTGTATGAATGCCTCGTCAAACTCGGAACAACTGCTGAGAAGCGACTGATGATCGACATCATGGCGCTTCGGCAGTCATACGAGCGTCGCGAGATCACTGAGATCCGCTGGATCAACGGAGAGGACAACCCCGCGGACGCATTCACGAAAGCAACACCAAATCGCGCGTTAGAACGTTTCATCGAAAGCAACAAGCTGTCAATCCGAGTAGAGGGATCTGTGCAGCGACCTACGGAGTAGGCACATATGCCTATTTGGAATCCCTCTCATTGTGCCCTTTTTAGAAGACCCGTTTTTCCTTACATCAGTCGTTACAATAAGAAAAGATTGCCAGTGTCGGCATACACACGGTGTGTCGCCTAATAAGGCCCAATGTACCGCCTCGATCCTACTTCGGCCCAACTCGGACCCAACGCTATGTATACCTTCGTAGCCCCCACATTCGTAGAATCATCATACACCAGAATACCAATACACAAGATTACCTTAGCTACTGTTATTCACCGTACGATCGTACAAGGCCTTCCAACACAGATAGAGAACGAAACATTTATTACTCTGTTTGAACAAATTGTTCAGAAAAGATCCAGACTATACTCTTATATTGCGGTCTCTGCTCTTCTGTAAAAGCCGACTTGAAAAAAAATCATGTCTTCTCTTCTGCGCTGTCTAGACTTAAGTCAATTCTACGCTTCCAACATGACATGAGGGGGTCGCTCCTTCTCTCCTTTTTGGAGCCTGTACCCACACCCTCAGTTCCATATTTTCATCAAAAGCAGCATACTAGGTACTATGTATGTCCTTGTCGTTGTGCATTTCCCAAAATATTGAAATAACGTCAACGACAATACATTTGTGGCTTTCTCCATACTCTTCCTCAACGAAATTACAGAAACGAAATTGTGAATGTTTCATGGCTCATTTCTTAGCGTTACAAAAAGATTGTACGTACCAAATCCCCATGTCATCTCCCTGTTCCCTTGTCTTTCCAACCTCTGGTTTCTAAAAGTCTTTCAACAGCGCATAGATGTGCGACTGCTCTTTTTCCTTTTCCCCGTAAAATGGATTGAATGATTGCCATGCAAGGTGTATGACCTTTCTCCTGCGTTCCAAAAAAATTACCGGGTCATTACGATGCTCTTGCCCTACCTTGATCATTTCAATCATTTTTGTGTTTCTCTTAAAACTATCCGATACAATTCTCGTGTGCATTCCTCTCTTGGCTCTCTCTGATCCTCTATATCTACGCAGAGAGGCCCCACGAGACTGTGCTATCGTTGGGATAAAAACATTGAAATACCATGTCGATGTTTTCCCAGCTCTTGTGCCGTCATGATGACGTATACATTTAATTGAACACATGGCCATGGACTGAGTGGTCTTTTCGGCTATCAATGAATACCTTCTCCTGCTCTTTGCTCTCAACATTCTTTAATTTACACTTTCGCCGATTTTTTTGCTATTGCCAAAAGGACACTGGCTACCATTGGATGGGGTTTCCCAAATAAAGCAACCTAAGGAACCATGGGCTGGGCTTCCGTTTGCGTGGTGTCCACCATATAAATTCTCTATCATCTCCTCCTCTCCCCTATTACTTCTATCATTCTTTTCTCGAAATCCTAGGGCAAATGGTACGTGTCTTAAGGTCAAACCGCTTCCGATCATGACACCACTTTTGCACAAAACGCTTACTCTAAAACTCTGAATGCTGTGTAATCTACACTATAGTAGGTACCAAACAACTCAATTGCTTAAAAGATTCCAGACACAATTTCCATGAGAACAGGGAAAAGCAGAAAATTAAGATTACCAAAATGACGAGCTGCATACATTATGTCGTGGCTTCCTGCGGATATTCAATATCGTAATTCTCGTCATACATTCCAAAACGAAAGAAAATGAACAATTACATGAAGCAAGGCTGCAGAGTAGTTCGAAAATGCCCATAATCTCCTCTCATGCTTACCGGGTTTTACGCTATCTATGTATTCTTCTTCTCCCAAAAAAACGCAGAGACCAGTGTGATAGAGAGATCCTCAGACATGCCTAGCAATATATGAACCCTCTGTCCTCCTCTTTCCTTTCTTCACCTTCCTGACTCTCTCCATCAAACTTTCTAAAATGTTATCTTTCAAAATGCTCAGGTCGCCGGATGATGTGTCTCTGTTTTCCGAAAAGCTCAACAAGGTTACAGCCAAGGCGTTTCGTTTCCCAAAACTCACCGACATACTTTCTATAGCTCGGATCTGCCGTGGATTTTACATAAATGCCCTCTTTTCCATCCTTCCTTCTCTTCTACCTTCTAGACCTTACCCAGCTTCCAAAATATCATACGCCAAGGTTGTTCGGTATTCCGGAAATGATGCATGCATCCTCTGCTCCATCATGAGATCTATGAGGAATCTGATGTGTTTCTTA